GGTCATACCGTGCCTGAGTTGGGGCTTGAGGATGTCAAGAAGCACGAGAAAACTAGGGTACATTTACCCTGTTTTTTATAGTTCTTTCAACCTTTTTCCATATCATTCTGAGTTTATTTCATCCCTGTACAAAGTTAAATGATTTTGGTTTCAGAATTTTTTTGTGTATGTTTTTGTGTGCCATTTTTTTTTCTCTCGAATTGCATTTGTTCAGGTGGATGTACGTTAAATAACAATTGTAAGGCCTAAAAAGATGTCAAATATGAGTTACACTCGTACATTTTTTGCAAGAAGTCCGAAAAGCACGGGTGTAAATAATATTGCTGAGAAAATTTCTAGATGATAAATCCGTAATAGGAGCAAAAGATAAGAAAGGCTTGTTGAAAAAATAGGTTTGTGCTATGGCTATATATGCGAAGCTTTTACTTTTTAGTTCTCCATGTGTCTTCCTGATATCACTTCTGCCCTAGACAAGGACAATGTTGTACTGGTTGGGATTGAAGCACACGTATGCGTTCTTCATACAGCTTTAGATTTGTTGGAAAAAGGCAAAAATGTCCATGTTGTTGTAGACGCCGTGAGCTCGCGGTCGCTTACTGACAGGTCAGTTGATAACGTCATTTTATTATCTTATTCTATCTGGGTTTGAAGAACTATTGAAGATGCACTTTATGCTTTTTTTTTGTTACACAGACGGTACTTCTTTTTTCTTTTTTTTGGCAGTGTAGATTTTCATCTAATTCGATTACGTTTTCAATTAGTTTTTCCACGCATGTCTGCCTTATCTTCTTGTTCTGGTCAACAGAGTGCTCGCACTGGTCCGAAATTCACCTTCTTTTTTTCATTTCTTCAATTCTTTTTGGACCTTTGATACTCTTCTTGATCGAAAATCTAATAAGCTTTTCACTATTCAACTTTTGCCCCTATACTTGCCTATTCTGCGGTTTTACGCAATCTGTCTTTTTCTTTTGTTCGGAATCTGTGATTCTTGGATTGAAAGATCTGTTGTTAAAACCAGATCTGTGCACCTCAGAGCGTAACCATCAAATCAAAAGAAAGCTCGTTTCGAATTAACAAGATTTCTTCTTTCGCATGAAGTTCTGTTAGCTCATTTTTCGGTAGTCAACAGTCTGAAAAGTTTTGATAATCTTGCTCTTTCCCAGCGAGGTAACAAAACTTAGTTTTATGAAATCTGTGTCTGTAATAGTACGATTTGGCAGGTCCAGCTAACGTAAGGCCAAGTATGTCAGGCGCATCACATTTCATGTGGTCACTTTAGGAATCGAAAAGCAGAGCAATGCTAAATAATGTGAGGGTTCTCAGGGCGATATCCCATTTTCTGCCACTTTCTTCCATTTCACATTATCCCTTTTAAATTATCATCTGTGGGAAGTTTACCATGCGTATCAAAGCATATCATCCATCCTAAGGCTATGAAACTTGAGTATATCTCGCACCTTTCTCTCAAGCTTTTTCCTTTAGTTTATTCATTTAGATAAGGAGACCTCGGTGAAACGTTCTTTCTTCACAGATGCCTTGTTTGCGGAAACAATAATGCAAGCTTCAGGATAATTCATTCCCATTTCTCCACTCCGTAATGGCTTTTCGTATTATGCACACGTGTAGTGGACGCTGGCGGTCCTCTTACTGTCACTTATGTTTTGCATTTCCTAACAATTTTTATGTGTTGCTGGAGTTTTATGCCAATTGAGCACTTAACATGAGACTTTATAGCACCAGCTCTTGTCATATCTCTTCATTTTGCACCACCTGTCACTTGGCTTACTGAGCTTAACGCCATACTTAGACCTACTTAGTTTGCTATAATCAAACTGTGCGTTCT